CTGACCAGCCCCATAGGTGGTGACCAGGGCTGACCACACGTGTGGTCAGTGAGCTGTGCCCCCCTCTACTGTGCCCCCCATGACCTCAGTGAACGTGGATAAAACAGCAAAGCTCCCAAACCCTCCACTTTGTAATATACCCTCCAGCCCAGCGCCCCAGACCTCCCCACAGCCCCCCGCCTTCCCCAGCTCCTCACCACCTCCCACAGCCTGCCAGTCCTGGAGGAAGGCCAGATACCCTCACACCTGGCCAAGAAGCCAGCCAGTTTCCACATCATGCCCACCCTCCTCACTGTATTACTGAAAACGTGTCAGGGATTTGGGGCTTGTAGGCATAGGTGAAGTGCCGGATATGCTCACCGGACCCTCCAGTGAGCCAGTAGACCCAGCGGGCACTGGGCCCCGTGAATGAGGAGCATGCGCACGTGACCCAAGTCTCTGCCCACGGTCACCTCCCCGGGGACAGGATCTGTGGGGAGGACGGAGCCCGGGAGGGGATCCCACGGTGGCCAGCTTCTCCTGGGGTCCCACCCGCTGGGCTCCCGCGCACCCCCCCACCTCTACCTGGATGACAGCCCTGTGTGCCCGCCTGGTTCCACCCTCCCCTGCCAGGCACGCCCACCCAGGCCCCGGGGCCCACCATGCACCCCGGCGGGGGACAGGTCTGGAGAGCAGCGATCTGGGGCGAGCTGTGGAAGTGACTGCAGCCCCAAGTGACTCCAGGCGCCATGGCAGACCCCGCTCCCTGGGGAGGGGCTGGCCAGGGGCCTGTCCATGGACCCTGAAGCCCCCCACTCTCCAAACTGCAGGGTGCCCCGAGTGTGATCCCGGGGGTCACCTTGGTCCCCTTACTTTTCCCAGTTTTGCACATGGACCCCTAGCCTGGTTTGGACCCCCTCCTCTCCACCCACCCTGCCCAGCTTCCTTCTCCTGCCCGACTTTCACCTGGGTCCCAGGAAAACCCCTCTGTCCACCAGCCTTGGGGAGGCAGGACTTCCCCCCATCCTGCACCCTCTGCCTGCAGAGAGCAGGTGGGCTCTGCAAGCTGTGGACTGCGGGGCACTAGTGGGGGTGGGCACACGTGGCCGGCTGGAGCATGCCTGCCCCACCCTCCAAACCCCTCCCTCCAGGACGTCCAGTGGACGGACTCACCCCTCTGATGCAGGATCCACCTGAGGGCCGCGAGCCAGCCTCTGCCAGCGGCTTTGTGACTGTGAGGGGCCAAGAGCCCGGCAGAAGAGGGGCTGGGGGTGGGCGGGGGCATCGAGCTGGTCCCTGCCCCAGGACCTTTGGGCTCCTCCCTGCCCCTAGGGAAGGCGAGCCGGGACCCCGCGGTGCTGGACACGGCTGACCGCGAGTGACTGCCCGGGGAGCTGCTGGCCTTCTGCTCCGGTCAGTCTCAGGAACCTTTGGCTGTCCTCCCGAAGCCAGGGGTTAAAAGACCCTCTGGGCTCCTGTGGGCAGAGCCCAAGGTCACTGGGCCCGGAGCCACTGCAGCAGGTCATAAGCCACACCTAGAGGGCCAACGGGCTGGACGGTTCTGTCAGGGCAGCAGCTCCTGACGCCCAGGGGCCTCAGAAGACCAGCAGCATCGTGACCCCCGGGAGCAGGCTTGAGAGGCAGGGACTCACGGCCACGCTTCTGAAGGAGGCCACCCACCGGGGGACGGTGTGGGGGAAGGAGGGCACTCTGACCCTCATGTGGGGCTGCCTGGGGCCCCCACCATTCACAGTGCGCCCTGGCCTGTTCCCAGCTCTGAGTGCCTTGGTTTTCTCCCCAGTAAGTGGGGGTGAGAGGGACGGCTCTGGCCGCACCAGGAGGTGAGGATTTCTGCAAATGGTCCACGGCGGAGCCTGGCACAGAGAATGCCAAAAGATGCCAGGACTTCAGCAAATGCCATGGGCTCTGTGCCACCCTCCCCCAGGGATGAGGTCACCTGAGTGAGCGTCCTGTTATCATGCGAGGAGGTGACCAGGTGCCTTGGAGGCTCACTGTGCCCTCCGGCACACAGACCGCTATCCGACTTGCCGCGAGGGCAGTGTAGACCTGACCTGGCTCTGGTCCAGCCTCGGGGCCTGCACTGTGTCCCCTGGGGGCGTGTGTGCTGGGAGGATGAGGGGCACACAAGCCTGGGCAGCCCCCAGCCCACCTCACCCATTCAGCCCTAGCCAGAGCGCCCAGCTGCGCCCAGGTCTCACCCACCACTAACCCCCCCACCACCCCATGCTTCTCAGAGACTCCAGGAGCCCACTGGACACCCAGCATCTGGAGTCGGGGGTTAGCCCCAGGGGCGGCCCCAACCCGTAAGATACAAGACCCCGATCAGCGCTTCCTCTGGTCTGAGGTCTCAGGAGCCCCGGGCGGGCAGCAGGTTGAAGTCTTGGGATCTGGGCGGGCAGCAGGTCATCCCTGTTCCAGCTTCGCCCCTTCAGTTCACAGCTCCACCCAGACGCCCGCCTCTGCCCCCGGGACCATGTCCCAGATAGGGTGCGCTGGCCACGCCCACTGCAGGATGGTGCTGGCGGGGCTCTTGGCGTGGGGGAGGCCCTCAGGAAGTCTCGGTACCCTGGCAGGAGGAGGGGGCAGCTTCGTCCGGCGCCTCCTGTCGCTCACAGGTAGGGCCCGGGGGCCTCTGTCTCCAGGGCCTTTACTCCCAGCCAACTGGGGCCTCACCTACAGCCTGTACACGAGTCCTCCACCGCCACGGAGCTGAGGCCCTGAGGCCTTCTTGGGGAGCATCTCCAGGAGGACGGCCCTGGTGCCCAGGGGCCTTGGAGGCCTGGGGACACAGCCTGTCCAGCGCGGGTGCGTCAAAGGCCCCCGTCACAGCTCACATCTAATGTGGACGCTTCTCCTTCTCTGAGTCCTGGGAGCTTGGGGCACGGCGTCTGTGCCCCCATCCTGGCCCTGCGGTCCCTAGGCTCCTATGAGAAGCGGAGCTCTTCCAGCACGGTCCAGCCCACCTTTCTGGCCCCATCAGGTTCTCTCCATGGCGAAGCGAGCTGGGCCAGCCCTAGACAGCTGCGGAGACTCTGGGTGTCCAGGGCCCGGAGCTCAGGGCTGCAGGCCAGCTGCCATCCTGTGTGCCGTCCTTGTGATCCTCCAGGAGGAAGCAAGCTCAGAAAAGACCCTCCAGCGTCTGCTCCACCTCCAGGGCTGGAGTCCCCATTGCCCGCCTGAGCCCTGAGTCCTGGCTCCCGGGCAGAGCCTGAGCTTGGCCCTGCGGGCCAGGTAGGGCCTGAGCTTGGCAGGATTGTCGTTTCTACAAATACAAATACAGGTCCAGGTAGACCAGAATCTCAAATAATCAATGAATGCCTTTTAGTATTGGGGCTTCCTGCATTTTTCTGCCCACCCTGGGCTACTGTAAACTCCCCACTGCCCAGCGTCCCTCCACTCCAGGCCAGGGTCCCCTGGGCTCAGGAGAAGGCTTCTCACGGAATGAACTGGGACCTGGCCAGAAATGCTCACAAATCCCCCAAAGGCAGGAAAGATTTTCAGGGAGAGTCACGTGGGCCTTTTAGGCATTTAACTTCCAAATCTCAGATGGGCTCTGCTCTCCTCGGATTCCAGTGGGCCTGGCGCCCCCTGCAGCCCACTCCAGGACGCGCCCTCCGCGGTGTCCAGCGTGGGATCCCTCAGAGCGCAGGGACAGTCCAGGTTCCAGCCTTCCTGCATCCCCCGTCCACGTCCACCTGGACGTAGTTTCCGGCAGTGGCCACCTTGAGTGGGCCTTTCCAAGGCAACTGAGTCCTCAATCCCCTAACTCTGTTCCCGTTCATTAGATGTCACGTTGAATTACAAATCCTTTTCCTAGAAGGACCAGTACAATCAGAGGCTGTGGGCGCGGGAACAAATAGGTGAGGGTGAGCGGTGCCCCTCCCCCTTGCAGGAGCGGGGCGTGCGCTTCCGAAGGAGCCCTGGGGCGGCTTGCGGGCGGCACGGGGACCGCCAGGTGAGTGGCCGGCAGGACCCGGCTCCCACGCTGACCAGGTGAGCCCGGCCTGGCCCCGACCCCCCAGTGCTGAGGCAGCGGGCACACTCCTGGGGTCCCCGGAGGCGGGCTGTCCACAGGGGCCCTGCGAGCCACGAGTAGCCAGGACTGAGACTCCCCGAAGCAGATCAAGACCTCGATTGGGGGCGGGGGCGTCTTGACCACCCTGAGCTGAGGGTGGTCCTGGGAGGGGCTCGGGGAGGAGGAGCCTCCAGGAAGCGAGGGCAGGAAGGCCGTGTCCGGGGAACCTGTGGCTTTAGGGCTTCATAATGAACCAGGGTCTGGCTTGTGTGGGGACAGCTGAAAGGGCCGTGACCCGGGCACCCTCGGTCCTTCCCGAGACCCCGGTGGGCGGCCGCCCTTGGTGTGCCTGAGTTGGGCGGCAGGGGGCGCCCGAGACCGCCTGATGGCAGCGACAGGCCAGTCTCACCTGGTGNCGCCCGAGACCGCCTGATGGCAGCGACAGGCCAGCCTCACCTGGTGCAGGTGAGGCAGGGAGGAGGAAGGCTCCCAGGTGAGACCCCTGAGCCCCGCACCCCTCACCCCTTTCTCTCTGCCCAGTGAGCCCAGGAGGCAGACGGGCGGCTTCTGTCCACTTCCTCCAGGAGGGCCTGCAGCCAGAGCTGCTTCTCAAAGCAGGCGGGTGTGGGGCGGGGGGGCGGCGGACTTCAGACGGTCCTGTGCGGGGCGGGGGCGGATGTAGGCAACCGCGCTCCAGAGATTTCACTGCCGCGACCTGGGCCCTATCCCTGACCGATGACACTAGCGTCCACCCCAAGAGAATGGGGGCTGGAAATGCCGCCTAGTTACAAGTCTGCAGGTGGTCCCCGTGTGTACCAGGGTCAAGGACTTCTTTGGACAGCAGCTCTCGAAGCCTGGCCCTGGACCTGCTCGGACCCCTGGTGAAGTAGTCGAGGTGCAGAGTCCTGGGCCCACCCCTGAACTCTAGAATCAGAACTCTGAGAGGCAGGGCCCGGGAAGGCGCATTCTGCCACGTCCCCTTGGCGATTCTGACACTTCCGTGTGGACAGCCTGCTCGGCCTCCCTCCCTACGTGTGCTCTGGAGCCCTAGCACGGACACCTCCTGGGGAGTCCCGGGCCCCGGGCCCCGTGCCCCCACCGGCTGAATCACAGCTGCCTTCCGTTCTGTCAGGGTCCTGGGCTGTGTGAGAAGCAGGGCTCTGGTCCCACCGAACACGAGCCGAACACGGCTGGGTGGGCACAGCCCCCACGGGGGTCACTGTGGGAGGGCTGCCGGGTGAGGGGGCAGAGGAGCGGGCCCCAGTGGGGCTCTGCAGAGGCGGTCCTCCAGGTGCGACCCTCCAGGTGGGCCCAGGAGGGTCTGCGCGCAGGCCAGCAGAACTCAGGAGGTGAGAAAAGGTGTGGGGAGGACCTGGGGGTGCTGATGGGGGACCTGGACGGTTGACCAGGCCAGCAGGTCAGAGTGCTGAGCAACAGGGAGCGATTGGCGGTGGGTTTTTTTTTTTTTTAAGATTTTTTTCCCCTTTATAAAAGTAAACGAATGTATAGTTATCAAAGGGGACAGAGTGGAAGAGGGATAAATTAAGCGTTTGGGATGAACATATGCACACTGCTATATATAAAATGGACAATCAACGAGGACCTACTGTATAGCACAGGGGACTCTGCTCCATACTCTGCAATAACCTAAACGGGAAAAGAATCTGAAAAAGACAAACGCACGGCTGACTCGCGTTGCCGTGCACCTGAAACTAACACAACATTGTAAACCAACTGTGCTGCTATTGTTTAGTCACCAAGCCACGTCTGACTCTGTGAGACCCCAGGGCTGTAGCCCACCAGGCTCCTCTGTCCATGGGATCCTCCAGGCAAGAATACTGGAGCAGGTTGCCATTTCCTTCTCCAGGGCATCTTCCTGACTCAGGGATTGAACCAAGTCTTCTACACTGGCAGGCGGATTCTTTACCACTGAGCCACCAGTCAGCGATACCCCAATATAAAATAAAAATTAAATTAAAAATAATAAATTAAGGAATATATTATACCCAGAAAGAAGAAAAAGCATACATACCCATAGCTCCCAACATCATCACTGCTCATTAATTGTAGACTTTTTCTACATTGAGTGTTTTTGTTAAGTAAACAGTTGTAAAATAAGTACTGGTAATTTTATTTCATTTTTTCCTAACATCATAGGGACATTTGCACATTGTCTTCACACATGAAATTGTTCATGTTGCCACCAAAACCTTGGCCTTCTCTGCTCACTGAAGCCAAATAAGAAATACAGAGACAGAGTTTGGAGGAAATAGAAAGGTGATTTGACTCTCAGCCAGCAGAGAGGGGGACACAGTAGGTTCATGCCTCAAGAATTGTGCCCGCCCCCCACCCCACCCATGAGGAGTCTAGGGGCTTGTATAAGTCAAGGGCTCAGGCTCAGGGGTCGGTGATAAGAACAAAGGGGGTAGGATCTTGATTCCTTCCTTGTTTCAAAGACAGTCATAAACTGGCGCCAGTCACCCAGGAACCGACTCTGGCAGTTGGGTGGCTCTGCCGCTGTCTCTCTGATGTCTAACTACAAGGGGAAGTGTGTTGTAAGGTAAACACCAGATAGGGGATGCATTTAGCGTAGAGTCCAAGGGGAAAATGTGACTTGTAGCTCCTGCAGTGTTAGGGGGTAGAAAAACAAACTTAGTTACAGACACACAGCATTAGGAGCCCTTGAAACAGAAAGACTAGGAATGCTCAGGCCTGCTCACTATGCTCTTTATCTTCTTTGTTCTTAGGAAGGAGAAGGAGAAAGCTCATTCCCCTCTTTCCTCTTCACTACAACGTTAGCGATGGACAACATGCGGTGATGACGGCGGCCAGGCGGGCTGGTCCTTGCTCCCTGCCCGTCATCCAGCTCTGCCTTCCCCATGAACATTGGGGTCTCAGGCCCACTGAGATGCTGGGCCTTGAAGGCACAGAGGTGAGAGCCACACAGAGACTGCTTCCCACGCTCCTTCCAGACTCCACTTCCTCGGCTTCCCCCTACACACACACTCCACAGAAGTCCTGTTCCTGCATACCTCCCCCCCTCCTCCCGCCATCCCATTAGGCTACTAGTGGCCCTGTCGGCGGAGTAGTGGAGCTAGGAGAGCATCCCAGGGGACCAGACGGGTCAGGACGGTCTCGGGAGCTGGCTCTCTGGTCTGACGTCAGGGGCCTCCATCAACCACGGCGCCAAGTGCAAAGTCAAGTCCCAGAGCCAAGAACCTGCAGGAGGTGCCGGTGACCCCAAGGTGCAGGAGACCACGAGGTGCAGGGGACCCCGAGGTGCAGGGGACCAGGTGGCTTCTGCCCTTTAGTGAGGCTGTGGAGTAAGGACTGGGCTTGGCAGCTTCTAGATGTGCTGGAGAATGTGGGAAAAGAAAACAGTGAGCTCAGAGCTTAAATTTCCAGCCCAGGAGACAAAGAACCAGGAAACTATGCCGTTAAGGGAAGAGTTAACAGGCAGGCCCACCTGCCCCCTCGAGAGAGCTGAGAGAGCCGCCGACCTGCTCAGGAGGAATGCCCTCGAGGCTGGCCCTGGGCTGGAGCTCCAGGGAGGATCCTTGGGAAGGGCCTTGCTGCCTCTAAACGTCTGTGCCGAGTGAGGCTCCTGCCAGCGGAGCACCTCCTCTGGGGTTCTGGAATCTTCCCCAGGCACAGGTGCCTGTGACCCTCACCCCCAGCAAAAGCCCCGGGTGCTGTGTGTCTACTGGGCTCCGGGGAGGACAGCACCTGCTGGCTGGTGGCGGGGGGAGCTTGGCATGTTGTGTGTGAGGAGGGGCTCCGGAAGCTCATGCCTGGTCCCCAACCTGTCCCCGCCTGCCTCTTCCTTTCACTGATGTTGCTTTGCATCCTTTCTCTGTCCTGAATTTCTGCTGAGTCCTTGGGCACCCCGCCTCCGGCTAGCCAACAAGGGGGTGGTCCTGGGGACCCAGATACAGTCACAGAGTGCCCGGTTGAAGACCCCAGCACAGCTGCGCTAAGAGAATTCCTCTCCTGTAGGCACAACAAAATCCAGATTTCTAAGAACAAAACCCAGAGTCTGGTCTGGAGTTTGGCCTCATGGCAGGAAGGTTGAGCAGACCACCTCTTCTGGTGAAGCTGGGATAGGAACCCCTAAACTCTACCGGGTCTTCTTTGCCAGAAGACACCCCGTTGCAGAGAAGAGGCCAATTCTGACTCCATGTTGGGAATTTTTGACTTGCTTTCTGTCGCTTTTGTGATTATGATTATACAGAACGGCCTGCCTCGGAGAATCCTGCTGCTTCGCTTGACTGTAAACCAAAGTGCCTTTTTTCAGAACCCGGTCCACCAGTAGATGACAAGAAGGAAGAAATCAACACATCCCCTGCCTGAGGCTTGCCATTCTAGGAGAAGTTTGCAAGATTGATGGCCTTTTTACTTTGCTTCTCACCTCCCCCCATCTCTGACCTACAAAAGAACCTGACATCCAGACCCCCAAAAGATGGTTATTTTGAGGGGCTAACCTGCCGTCTTCTTGGTCAGCTGGCTTTTGGAATAAAGTTGTTTTCCTTGCCTCAACACCTGTCTCTCGGCCAGCAGAGTGAGTGTGGACTTGGTAACAATCATTCCTCCCTGTCTGGGGAGTGGTACCCCATGCTTGGGGAACCTGTGATGGTCACCCCCTGAGTAGCTGTCTTGCCTGGAGACACTCCATCACTGCAGGGACGCTGGAGGGCACCGGTCTGGAGACACCCTCCCTTCCTGCCGTCTGGGCTCAACGGCGACCTGTGGGCAGGGGCTGCTGGTGGCTTTCCAAGGGGCCCGTCCTGCCTGCCTGTCCCTGGGGCAGCCCTGTGACCGCCCTGTTCCTACAACCCCGTCAGACTTAGGCCGTCTCTCTCCTGGTAGAAAGGAAGCAGTTTATTTTGGGAATCGATGTTGAATTCAGTCCTAAAAAATCTTAGTTCTGTGCAAAGACAACTTTCTCCCATTTGATCTCTGGACCAGACTCCCAGAGTGGATGGACTCCTGGCAGTCTGCCAGAGTCACAGGCGCCCTCAGTCCTCTGGGTGGGGATGAAATAGTTTGAGGGTTCACAGAGCTGACGTCTCGCCCCTGGCCCTTTATAAGGAGGAGTCTGAGCGCCTGCGGCAGGCGCCCCTCGGCTGCAGGGCCGGGCAAGAGCAGCTGCAAGGTAACCACCAGGAGGGCAGACACCCGGGTCCATCCTTAAGTAGTTCAGAGAGATAAGGCCACCGATTCTGAATCGTGGGTTTAGCCCCAGAAGGACGAGGCCACTGACATCGAAGTTGCCACGAGAACACTGAGAACGTGTCTTGTTACCGGAGCTGTTTTCCTGGGAGGTGCCCGCCTGGGGGTGGCAGGGAGAAGCGGGGGTCCGGGGGTGGCAGGCGGGGGGAAGTGTGGGTTTGGGGGTGGCAGGGGGAAGCGGNGGTGGGGTCCCGCCTGGGGGCCTCAGGGTGACTGCTCTCCCTTCCCTCGCAGGGGCCAAGCCGGTGCAGGAGGAGGGAGGTACCGTACCACTCTGGTCTCTGGTCTCGTGGGTGGTGTGGGTCCTGTTTCTGGTCTGGGTGTCTGGTCCCAGCAGATGGGGGGCCTGGTGGGAGTTCGCCTCTGGCCCAAGCTGCTGAAGCAGAAGCCCTGGGTTGGCTGGAGGTCGAGCCCCACGTGGAGAGGGACTGGAGCCTCTTCCCTGGGGACACACCGCGCAGAAGGGACCCCTGCGGCCCCCAGGACTGGGCACTCCCATCTGACTCCCCATCTCCGGGCAGAGCATCCGGATTCCAGGCCTGGGGGCCAGGGTCTCCTCTGGGTTCCCCCCTTGGATGCCCCCACATCCCACCACGGTGTTTCCACCCTGCTCATGACGATGGGGCCAGACCCCCCTCCCCTGGCCCCGCTCCCCTCCTCTGCCCCCAGCCAGGGGCTCTGAGGGGCGGGGCCGAGTCAGCCCGCTCCCCGGATGATCAGGGGCTGCGCCCCGGCGCCGCGGGCTGGCCCAGCTCCTGAGCCGCGTGCCTCCCTCCAGACCCCTACGCCGAGCTGCCGGCCACGCCCTACTGGCCGTTCTCCACGTCTGACTTCTGGAACTACGTGCAGCACTTCCAGGCCCTGGGAGCCTACCCCCAGCTGGAAGACATGGCCCGCACCTTCTTCGCCCACTTCCCCCTGGGGTCCACCCTGGGCTTCCACGTCCCCTACAGGGAGGAGTGAGCAGGCGGCCCAGGGCCCCCTGCCCACGGGAGCTGGGCGGCCTCGGCCTTAATAAACTCCTGGCTCGAATGCACCATACCTGCCACCGTTCTCAGTTTTCTCTGGAGAAGCAGCTCCGCTCAGCCCCTCTCCCTCTCGCCTGATGAACCAGCCTGGCCCCTCTTGAGAGGGGCAGGGAGCTCAGACAATATGCTCTGTCCACCGAGCACCAGCTGCAATTCTCCCCCATCCTCATGCTGAACCTAGGAGGGGCCCTGGGACGCAGGTGGGGAAACTGAGGCACACAGACACCAGGCAACTGCTTGACTTGTTGACAGAACCCAGATCCTGTCCAGGCAGGCTTGCCCTAGGGCCCCCACCTTTGGCCACCAAGCTGGGCAGTGAGCGGACCTGCAGTGGTCATCCTGGGCTGGAGGCCTTGCCCAGCCACCACTGGTCACGCTGAGCTCACCCTGGGGCAGCTGGTCTTTCAGGGTCTCCAGGGGCTTGGGCACTGGGTCTGCAAGCCGAAGGCCCCAGACTGTGACTGCCAGCGCTGCAGGCTCAGGGACTCGGGGGTGGGGGGAGTGGGCTGCCCATCCTGGGCACCGAGGAGCGGACGGCCTCACAGACAGCACGGACAGGGTGTCAGGGGCTGTCCTCCCGCCCGGGATAGCTGCTCTGTGGAGGGGACCCCACCGCCCAGGTGCAAGAGCTGCAGGTCACACTTGCTCAGACAGTGAAGAAATTGGTTTCATGGGCTGCAACTAGCTTTTCTTTTACAGCAAAATAACAGAAAGTGCTTACCATTTAACTTTTTTGCTGTTATTCAGTTGCTAAGTCATGTCTGGCTCTTTTGCGACCCCATGGACTGCAGCCCGCCAGACTCCTCCGTCCATGGGATTTCCCAGGCAAGAATACTGCAGTGGGTTACCATTTCCTTCTCCAGGGGATCTTCCCAACCTAGGAACTGAACCTGTGCCTCCTGCAGATTGTTTACCCTTGAGCCACCTGGGAAGCCCATTTAACTTTAGATACTAGTTTTGTGCTAGTATTTAACCACAGAAACTAGCACATGTAATAAGCATTGTGTAAGGTCTCGTGAAACTTACGTGCTGCACCTTATGTTCGGTGGAAATATGTGATGGAAATGAATTTATACGTGTGCAGTTTCAAGGTCTGCCCTTTAGCGTATGAACCGGGAAGTTCACTCTGAGAGCTGCCTCCCCGCCTCTGGCTCAGACACCAGGCCAGGTGGGGAAGGGCCCCAGAAGGGTGAGGGGGGAGGTGGCCGTGGTGTCCAGGCGGTGGTCTCGGGAGCCACCCACTGGCTCCAGGTATGCAGCAAGGCTTCTTGCCTTTCCCTCTGCTCCACCTCCTCCTCCACCTGTGGTCAATGGGCAGCTTCCCTTCCGTGCCCCAGCTTAAATTCTCAAGAGAAAGATCTGTTGGCCTAGCCAGTCGATTTGGGAGAAGCCAATACATGCTTTGTTTCTTTTCTCCCCTGAGCTAGTTTGAGTTTGGTTTCTGTAAGTTAACTGCTGCTGCTGCTAAGTCACATTAGTCATGTCCGAGTCTGTGCGACCCCATAGACGGCAGCCCAACAGGCTCCTCTGTCCCTGGGGTTCTCCAGGCAAGAATACTGGAGTGGGTTGCCATTTCCTTCTCCAATGCATGAAAGTGAAAAGTGAAAGTGAAGTTGCTCAGTTGTGTCCGACTCTTGGTGACCCCATGGACTGTAGCCTACCAGGCTCCTCCATCCATGGGACTCTCCAGGCAGGAGTACTGGAGTGGGTTGTCATTGCCTTCTCCGGGGTAAGTTAACTACAGACACAAAAATTCCTGGCTCCTGTGATAGCCCACCTGTGGCAACTGGGCCTCAACCAAACACACCAGACAAAAGGCACCTTTGCCCCTCTGGACAGCAGTCTTTCCATGGCACTGACCTGTGTGTTAAGTCATAAATGTGTACGTGTGTGTGCGTGGTCATTTACATGCCACTAGGATGTTCGTGCTCCCAGTCATGCCGAGCATTGGAGAGTGAAGGCCCCAGATACCCCCGTAGGCTGCTCCAAGGACCCCACCCCACGTGCCTCCAAAGGAAGGTCCTGGGGTGCCCTGGCTGGAGCTATGTCCCCTCTCAGACACACCCACAGCTGCTCAGGACACACAGCTGCAATCCACGTCTTCAAGGCCTAGCTGCCCTCCTCCTGTTCTCAGAAGAAACCCTCATAACCAAGCCATCCTCGGCAGACACCCTACCTGCCTGCCTGAGGCCCAGGAGCAGCTCACTCCCCGCTTAGGACTCAGACTTGGCTGTGACCCTCCCCGTTCACCTGAGCACACACACAGCTTCATTTCTCCTCTGTGCACCCCTCTAGTCTCCCCCTACAGTCAGACACCCCACTTTCCGCCCCACAGCCCGCTTCACCGACAAGCACCACCCACGGCCACTGTCTTCTCGTCCCTGCCTCGGTTGATGATGGCTGGGGGACCACACACCCACTGTGCCCAGCAGCCAGTGCCCATGTTGACTGAGAAAGATGCATAACATAAAAGTTGAGAACTGTGTTTTATTTGGCAGACATGTTGCTGTTGCTCAGTTGCTAAGTTGTGTCTGACCCTTTGCAACCCCATGGACTGCAGCACACCAGGCTCCCATGTCCTTCACTATCTCCCAGAGTTTGCTCAGATTTATGTCCATTAAGTCAGTGATGTTATCTAACCATCTCGTCCTCTACCACCTGCTTCTTTTACCTTCAATCTTTTCCAGCCTTAGGGTCTTATCCAATGTGTCAGTTCTTCACATCAGGTGGCCAAAGTCTTGGAACTTCAGCTTCAGATTCAGTGCTTCTAGTGAATATCCAGGGTCAATTTCCTTCAGGATTGACTGGTGGGATCTCCTTGCTGTCCAAGGGTCTCTTAAGAGTCGTCTCCAAGACCACAGTTCAAAAGCAGCAATTCTTGGGTGTTCAGCCTTCTTTATGGTCCAACTCTCACATCCATACATGACTACTGGAAAAAATCATAGCTTTGAGTAGATGGACCTTTATCAACAAGTGATGTCTCTGCTTTTTAAAACGCTGTCTAGGTTTGTCATAGCTTTCCTTCCAAGGAAAAAGCATCTTTTAATACCATAGCTCCAGTCACAGTCCATAGTGATTTTGGAACTCAAGAAAATAAAATCTGTCATTGCTTCCACTTTTTCCCTGTCTATGTAAACAAAAGGATGGAACTGGATGCCACAATCTTAGTATGGCAGACATACTGACACCTTAAGCTGGGGAGACAGCCTCTCAGATCACTTTGACGGGCTGTCCTGAAGAGGTAAGGGAGGAGCCAGAATATATAGGAGTTTTTACCAAAGAAGATTAGGTAGTTGGAACATGAAAAAGAGTACTGCTCATTAAAGAAAACCGGACATCTCCAGTTAGTGAATTTGGTGCTTCTCTATGTTTGGGAAGATACAAGAATCTGGGCTTATTGAATCCATTGCTCTGACATGCACCTCAGCTGTTTGGGGCCAGCATCCTGCCTTTCTTCCTTCTGAATCCCCTCTGGGTGCAGGGTCGGGGGCAGCTGCAGAGGCTGATGGCCCGATGGCCTCACGTTGTTTATTTACCGATATGACACCGCATTCTTCGTCCACACCTCTGTTCTGGTGCACTCACGAATAGGGCCCTTTGACTCTCAAAGGATATGGGCTGGATGTGATCCCCAGCAGCAACCCCCAGCGCCCGTGCCCTTGGTGTCCCCCAGCCTGCCCCTGTCCCTGCTCCACCTCTGCGACATCACCGCTCAGGAGGGGACCCTGTTGGTGCCACGGACCCAGCGTCCCTGCTCTGACTTTCACTCAGGAACTTGAGGTGACTCGTGTCGCAGTGACGCCGGAGGCTCACCCACACGTCAGTCGCTTCTCCCTTCTCCCTGCTCCACCCACGCCTGACCCGGCAACAGTCCCAGCTCCATCTCTGTTCAGTTCCTGTCTCCCTGGAGCCACCCTCCCCTCCCCCACCCCCACTCTTGGCAGCCCAGCCCCCCAAGCCCACCCACTTCTAAAACCGTCACTCAAACATCTCCGGCTCTCCTTCCCTACCCTCTTGCCCCTCCCTCTTGCCCTCCCTTCTCATTCACATTCTTTTTAAAAAAACTTATGACAAAATAAAGATAACATAAGATTTATTATCTTAGCTCTTTTTGAAAGGCATTAAGTGCATTCACACTGTTATGCAACAGTCCTCATCCTCCACCTCCAGACTAGCTCCTCTTCCCAAACTGAAACTCTGTCCTCAATAAACACTAATTCCTCTTCCCGTAGCCCTGTCCTATTTTCTGTCTTTATTAATTTGATTACTCTATAAACCTTATATAAGTGGAATCATATATTTGCTTTTTGGTGATTTCACTGAGCATGGTGTCCTCAAGGTTCTTCTGCATGGCAGATGCAGTAAGAATTTCCTTCCTTTTAAAGGCTGAATAATAGTCCATTGCATGGATGCACCGCATTTTGCTCATTCAAATGTTGATTCATACCTATTTGAGTTGCTTGCACATTTTAGCCATCGTGAAGAACCACATTTTAACCATTGTGATAAATGTTGCTGTGAACATAGATGTACAAATACTATCTCTTTGAGATCCTGCATTCAGTTCTTCTGGATATATGCCCAGAAGTGGAATTGCTGGACCATATGGCAAATCTGGCTTCCCAGGTGGTGCTAGTGGTCAAGAACCTGCCTGCCAACACCAGAGATGTAAGAGATTTGGTTTCGATCCCCAGGTTGGGAAGATCCCCTAGAGGAGGGCATGGCAACCTACTCCAGAATTTTTGCCTGGAGAATCCCATGGACTGAGGAGCCTGGTGGGCTAAAGCTTGGCAAATCTGTTTAATCTTTGAGGAACCTCCATACTGTTTCCAAGAACAGCTGCACCATTTTACCTCCCAACCAGCAGAGCACAGGGGTTCCCATTTCCCCACACTCCCCCAACACTTCTTATTTTCTGGGGTGCTGATAGCAGCCATCTCGATGGTGTGAGGTGGTATCTCATTATGGTTTGGTTTGCATTTTGCTGATGAACAGTGACGCCGAGCATCTTTTCATGGGTTTACCGATCATTTATAAACCTGTTTTGGAGAAATGTTTATTTGAGACCTTTGCTGATTTTTTAATGGGCCACTTTGCTTTTTGTTGCTGCATTTTAGGAGGTCTCTGTACATTCTGGATATTAACCTTTTATCAGATACACAGTTTGCAAATATTTTCTCCATTCTCTGATTGCCCTTCACTCTGCTCACCACTAGCATTTTTAATGGGTAATTTCTTGGGCACCTATCTGTGCCAGTCCATTAGGGCCAAACTGTCTGCGTCACCGTGAAGTCATCAAGCAGCTTCCCTTACGTGCTGACAGGGAGCCAAGACCCTGTCCACCCCAGGCCAGACCAGGACTGTCCTCCCCGAACCGGCCCTAGTCAAGACGAATGCAGGAGGAGACCATAGAGTTGAAGGTCTTCCGGAGTCTAGACTCGCCAAATGGTGGGGGGGGGNAAGACGGGGCACGCACCGGAAGAGGCAGTCAGCGGGCCGGAAGTGAGCCGGGGACGCCGGGACTGCGTGAGAGCATGAAGCCGGCCGTGGACGAGATGTTTCCCGAGGGCGCCGGGCCGTATGTGGACTTGGACGAGGTGAGGTGGGCCGCGCCGAGCCGGGCGGGAGCGGCTCCACGGCCGGCTCTCGGGCGCACTTTGGGGCCGCGCCGAGAGAAGGCAGCGGCCTGCAGGGCCCAGCGCTCGCCCTCCCCGCGGTGCCTGCCTTAGCGCTGGGCCCCTGGGAAGCCTATGGGCGGCGGCCGGGGCTGAGGTGAGCGTCGGTGCCCGCCGCCTGGAGGGCACCCCTGGGTGTGGGCCCCGCTGTGGAGGGCATGCTGCTGGGCGGCGGGGGCGAGCCGCGGTCTGGGAGGCGGGGAGGCGAGGGCCCGGCTGACGGCGGGGCTCGGGAGGGAAGCGGGGGCTCGCCGGGGAGCGGGGAGAGGGCCGTTTGTGGGGGCCGTGCGCAGCGCGGTGCCCGGTCCAGCGTTTCTGCCTCCACCGCTCCTGTGGGTTACAGGAGGTTCCTGTGGTGCTGGTGTTCCGTGGTCTCCAGGGTCAGGGCCTCCGTTTCTCTTTCTTAAGAGCCCGGGGCGGGGGGACAGCCCCAGCCTGCGTGCTCCTGGAGATAGCCACAGAGTCATTGCCAGCCCTAAGTGTATGGGGAGGTTGGCGGTGCAGGTTGATAGAAGCCCTCCCGGGGCGTAGGAGTGGCCCAGTAAAGCCTTAGGAGTGCAGCTGACTGCAGCCAGATGCCGGAGGCCGTGCTGGGTAGTTGGGGACGGGGGAGGGCGTCTAAGGGAAGGCAAGGTCATCTGGCTTAACGTGCGGGCCAGGCCTTTAGGCGCCTGAGAGAGAGCTCAGGGGATGAGCCGGGAGTTGGGGGGAGGTAGGGGCGCGGGCCCAGATCTTGAATTGCTTCCCGCTGTCCTGGGGTGGGCGGGCTCGCCATACCCCACTGCAGGAGGCTGTCGCCCCTGCACTCACCCTGCTTCTTAGCCCTCACTCCAGGCGCTGCCTTAGGCAGGTGTGGGGTCCCTGGAAGCCTCTCCTGTGGGGTGATGGGCTCCGCAGATGGGCAGAGAGAGTGGGGTGGTGTGAACCGAGGAACAGGAGACCGGAAGAGGTTCTGAATGAAGGCCAGGCCTCCAGGGAGGAAGGCTTCCAGTGGGGTGCAGGGTGGCGGGGGGGTGCTAGCTAACTGAGGAGAGGAGGAGGCCTGTGAGAACCCTGGTTGCTGAGAGCAGCCGCCCGCCTCTCTATGGGGAACTCAGGAGGTGCTCAGCTGTCTGAGCCAGAAGAGGTGGACAGACAGCCTGGGGGGTGTCGGGCTGGCCGGGGTGCCGCCCCCAGAGGCCTCTGCTGTAGTGTCCCCGTGTGACCTGAGAGACTCAAGAGTCCTCAAGACGCCGCCCAGCTTTGATCCTGACCTTTGTTTTACTGCCCGCGTTGAGGGGTGGCCTGTGATGACACCCCCACCAGAAGAAGCCCAGGTGAGCAGGTCAGTTTCTCAGGGGAAACTGCTTACTCCTCGGAAGAAGCAGGGGGCGTTGAGAGCAGCGGGATCCCTGGGCTCAGTTCGGGCCTCTGTGGCCAGGCAGAGGACACAGTGGGGACAGCAGCCCCTGCCTGCGCTGTGTGCAGGAGAGCTGCCGTCCAGGCAGGAGTCTCTGTAAACAGCACGGACGAGCCTAGGAACCCAAGACCCGAGGGACCTTCTCGTCATTCCTCCAAATGCTGCCTCCCTCACCCCTGCTCCAGCCACTTCCTTCCCTGGACTGAACTTGGTCCCTGACCTGGACACTTTCTGCCCAGCAGTGGTGTGGAGCCCGTGAGGCACTTACCCTTCATTCTCTCTGAAAACCCGGCTGACATAACCTTTCCTTCCCCCCCAGGCAGGAGGCAGCACTGGGCTCCTGATGGACTTGGCAGCCAATGAAAAGGCAGTTCACGCAGACTTCTTCAATGGTAAGGACGCCGGGATTGGCCTGCCAGTTTCAGCCTGTGTTTCTTCTGCAGGTTATGGGGTGGAGTGGCTTCGCGAGATGAGTGACGTGGGTCGTGGCCAGGTCCTCTGTCATTCTTGGACTGCGGTGCAGCTGTGGGAAATGGGCAGCCCTGGTTTTCAGGAGGGAGAGGTGCTCCCGTCCCATGTGCCAAGTGTGGAGTCTGAGCCTGAGACTGGGGCGACGTCCGCCCGCCGGGCTCTCTCTGCACCCCTGACGATTGTGCTCCTGTCCGTTCGCCTGGGTTCCTGTCCTGGGTGCCTGTGCAGAGTGACAGCCACTCTCCTGCTCCCCCTGCCTCTTCTCTGAGACCAGCAGCTGTTGTGTACGAGTTCAGTGCTCGTTTGAGGAACATGGGTGGAGTTTTACGAAATAACAGTTAAAAAAGAACTTTATAGGAAGTCTTCATCCACATTTGAGGGGGTATTTCTCTTGTTGCCTTCTGATTTCTTAGGGTGTTTTTCCTACAGATTTATTAATCCTTACCGAGGGTTAAATCGTAAGTAGAAACACAAGACCACTTTCTCAGGAGAGCTCAGTGGTGTTTTCTCTCTCGTCCCTCTTTCATGCAGGGTGCCTGTCACTACAAAGGACTTTGGTCACTGGTCAGTGGCAGCTAGGATGTTATCTTGGCCCTGTTGGGTTTTGCTGGCCCCAGACCGCTCTCACACCCAAGCCCATTTTCTCTGTTCTATCCAGGCCCCTGTTGGCTCAGTAGAGAAGCTGGGCTGCTTCATGAGGACAGGAGGTGACATTTGGGCCCCCGGAACTGAGTAGCATTTCAGCTCTCTAGGGGAGCGGGTGGTGGGGGGCACGGGGTGCAGCGGTCTGAGCGTTCTCCAGAGCCACCCGTGAGCCTCACCTGGGCAGGGGTGTGTGCTCGCCAACCCGGTATGACCCAACCCCGCTCCTCCTGCCAGCTTGGGGGCTTGGAGGCAGTTGGCTGTATCTAGGGTTCACGTTCACGGATTCTCAGCAGCAGCCCTTTAGTTCTGACAGAAGCTTCTGTGGGAGGGACCCAGGCCGCCCTGCCTGAAGAGCACAGGGGTGCTTGAGGGCCTTTCTCCTTCAGAGGCCGATTCTGGCAGAAAAGGGAAGGAGCTCAGGCACGCCGCCCGGCCGGTTGTGATGGCCCTGATGTGCGGGAGGCGCTTCCCTGCCAGGAAGCCCAGTGGCGTGTGGAGGGGCTTGTCCTGAGCCCTTTTCACTCACTGAACAGACGGTTTTGATGGTCTCTTGTCCCCCAGGCAGTGGGTTCTAGCCCTGAAGCGGGCCTGCTGTCCTCACTCATGTCTTAGAAAACAGCAGCGCCTGAGAGGGGGCGGGCCGGGACAGCTCGGGAACGGGAGCCTGATGGGCAGGCATAGTGCCTCCAGGGCGGTCCGGGCTGCAGGACCCCAGGCCAGGCCAGGCCCCGAGAGGAGGCGGGTGCTGGGGGGACGGGTGGGGGCAGGGTCCCTGCACGTCCCCGGAAGCAGCCGTGTGGGGACTGGTGGCCCTCTTTCTGGTTCGTTTACTCTGCACCTCCGCGGTGTGCGGTACACGTGAGCGGGATTTTAGTGTTCTCCTCCTCGCGGTGAAGGTAATACATGCCCGTGGGGGAAGTTCAGAAGATTTACGCAGAAGGACACGGAAGGACCCGGTAACCTTGAACTAGGTTTTACCCCTTGCAGACGCAGTGCACCCTTCCAGTGGGAATGGGCTCGGGCTGTGATTTTCACGCTAACTATAGGTCTGACTTAACGGGAGCCTCTCACGGGCTCTGAGTTCTCACAGCGCTCCTTCCCTCCACCACCTTCCTCCTGGCCACCCTGCATTTCCTCTCAGGCTGCGAGCCTCCGGGGGCTTCCGCCAGCCGCGCCTTCACCTCCACGCAGCGTCCACACGAGGGGGGCCCTGGCCGTGCTCACGGGTGCGGCGCTGCGCTCACGGTCCAGAGCCTGCCGCGTGTGTTCTCGAGGTCGCCGTCTGAATGGAGGCAGACTGAAGGTGCCCGCTGGATCACTGTCCTCTTGGGCTGCGTCAGCCCCAGTTGGGCAAAGCTGAGAGCCCGTCGCCGGGAAGTCGTTGATCAGATTGTCTTCTGTTTTCTCTCTGGTTTGAACGACCGCATAACCCCTTTATGTTATGTCCTCAGTTACTGACCTTGTGTGATCATCAATTTGTGGTTTTGTTCATTTTGTAGATTTTGAAGATCTCTTTGACGATGATGATATCCAGTGAGGTGTGTCCAGCGGTGCATTTGGTCAAGCTTCGCCACGTGGTGGTGTGGTGGGTCTCCTTAAAGGACAATTTCAGGTGGTTCCAGAGAACTTGTGGGAATTGCTAGAATTTAAGAGATGATTAGCCAAGAAAGAGAAGAAGGTTTTAACCATCTGGAGGAGGCCTGTTAAATTCTGAATGTGGCCAGCTTTTGTCCTTGACTTCAGTTAAAATAAAGTGATGTTATTACTTGCAGGGTAACTTTGCTTCTTGCATTTTGAGTGAATGTTGCGATCCCTGGACATCTCGTGCGTATGTATGCTGCTGTGTGTGTTGCATGCTAAGAGAAACAGGTCTCCACATAGAAACACACAGTGCGCTTTTTGCATTGTGACCTTGAGTGATTCTGACAGCTCACAGTTGCTGAGGTGGTGCTTGTGCGAGACCTTCTCCTGCCCCGTGTCTTACCCCCATGGACCTCGTGTTCTCTGGCTCTGACGTCAGAGCATCTGCTGCCCCCAGACCTGAGGCTTCAGGAAACAGGTAGCTTGGTAATGACTTGAAGGAGACGCCGCCCACCTGAGAAATGCGCGCCTTGGTCCATTTCAGAGGAGAGCCTAGCGTCTCTGGGGGCAGCTTACTGGTCCAGCTCAGCAATTGATGATGGCTGTGAACACTCGGATCTCACATCAGTCTTGAGGAATGTATCTTCGATCAGGAACACCCCGGGCACACGACTTGGTGGTTCCCACAGCCCTGAGCAGAGCAGAGACACTTAGATGAGTCAGGCTATTCCCTCTCGCTGTGAGAACCACCAAATGGAGCAGCTTGACGGCCTGTCTATGAAAGAGCCGTTTTTACTGAGAAACAGGTGAGATTTTAAACAGAGCAAAGCATCATCTCGTGAGTGCCGAGTGGGCTTCTGCTCTTCGCATGCCCCTCCAGGTAGAGCTCGGCCCCCAGGAGGGAGGACCAGTTGTCCAGAGCAGCTCAAGGGGCCAACATGAGGGCAGCATCCCGGGAAAGGCCAGGTTAGGAGGGCCTCGGGGCCCATCACGGGAGGCCCTGCCCTGGGACCCGATGCTGCTTCCACGTCAGACTGAGTGGCAGGGCCTCCAGCAGGAGCCGCAGAGCCCGACTCCAGGGAGAGGCGTCTTGGGGCCTGTTCTTGAGGTCGCGTACCGGGCAGTCCAGCTTCCTCAGGGGGCTCCTCGGAGCAGGCCTGGAAGGCTCTGTGGGGAAGGACTGGGTGTTTGGCCGTCAGCAGTGGCTGCGCTTCGGTCTGTGAGCCATGAGGGCTGTGCCCGTTCAGACCTCAGGATTGGGAAGGCCCTTTTGGATGAGGGGAGGTGCTCGGAGGAGGACCCTCGCTCGTGGCCATGGCAGGGACTGACTTGGAGAGTATTGTCTGCTAAGGTGGGGTGTCTGGATCCATGTTGAATTGCAGGTTTTTGGAAGTGAGAGCTCCTAATGCAGGGAGCCTGTCAGAACCACGTGAAGAAGCACGTGGGTTATTGGGGTTGGGTTCTTGGGAATTTGGGTTTGGGGAGGAAGTTGGAGAAAGAGCTGTTTCGATGCTCTGAGCTGTGAAGACTAGTGGAGGCCTTTGGAGGAAACATCTGCTCTCCCTGCCCTTAGAGTTTTTTGTCTTCCTGGGTAGAGGGAAACCATTTGTCCCTCAGCCTCTGCCCTGGCCCCTTGTTTGAGTGGAAGGAGGCTTACGCGCTTTATCAGGGCTCAGGAGACCGCTGGGAGAGGAGGCTTACCGCCACACATGCGAGCTGCTGGGTTAGGGACGCTTCCAAAGCAAGTGACACTCTCAGGAAGCAGCATTATTGACAGAAAATTGACTGCTGTGAGTTCTGCTTGATGTCAAAATGAGAAAAAGGTGCTGGAATGAAAAGCCCCTCTGTCCCTCAAGAGGCCAGTGGCCAGGGCTCCTGCCCCTTGAGTTCCTGTCCTTGGAAACGCTGTCTTCTTGTCGCACCCTTGACTTGCCCCAGGTCACCCAGCGTTTGGGGGGCAGAGGGGTGCCAGCCCTTGGTCAAAGGCTGCGTTCTCTCACTGAGACCAAAAACGAAGCCAGGAGACACTCAGCAGATTAGGAAGGAAGACAGGAAACCTGGGTCCCCAAGGGCTGATCTGTTAACATTTGCTGACGCAGAGAACTTTCACAGACTGGCACGAAGGAGGCGCGCACTGGAGACCGATGCTCACTGAGACGCCAGTTCACAGAACCAACTCAGACGGCCAGGGGCACTTAGAGGTGCTCAGGGTCACAGGAAGTCGGCGAAACGTCCATTAAGCCAGCAGGACGCCACTTTGCTTGCTGGAGGGCAAAGGCTTTGAGTGATGAGGGATGCCCATGCTGGTGGGGGTGGGGTGGGACTCTGGGGTGTCGTGGTCTCTTTAGAAGAGATGTAGTGACGGTAATGAAGACTGGAGACCCGGCAGAACCCAGACATGATGTTGATTCTAGCGTTTTTCCTCCGGGAAACAATATGGAAACAGAATGAGTGATCACGGATGAGGAAGTGATGGTGCAGGCACACCTTGGGGAGCCCTACGTCCCCTATAGTGTGGCCCTGGACCTGGAGGGGATTACATGGGTACCTGTGGGTGGGGAGCTGAGAGGCAGGAGCGGGGCTGTTACCTGGCACATTTATGCCTGTTCATCTGAGGTGCAGACTCTTTTTTTGGGGCTCCAAAATCACTGCAGATGGTGACTGCAGCCGTGAGATTAAAAGATGCTTACTCTTTGGAAGGAAAGTTATGACCAACCTAGACAGCATATTAAAAATCAGAGATTTTTGCCATACATTGACATGAATCAGCCATGGATTTACATGTGTTCCCCATTCTGAACCCCCCTCCCACCTCCTTCCCCATCCCATCCCTCTGGGTCATCCCAGTGCACCAGCCCTGAGCACTTGTCTCATGCATCCAACCTGGACTGGCGATCTGTTTCACACTTGATAATATACATGTTTC